ATATATATATATATATATATATATATATATATATAGTATTAATTGAAAAAAATTATCAGCCTTAATGATACCAATACAGTATATGATACTTATTTAATATTATTTAAGTGAAATTAGTTAGAGTATGTAGTGTAATTATTTAGTGAATTATGAATTTAAAGGAATATATATTTGTAATTATTTTACCAGTATTTGCTTAAGTTTCCCCTTTATTTTTCCTGTATTATTTATCCTTCAATTTTTTTATTTTTTTATTATTTACCCTCCTCCTCCGCAACAATAACTTCATATCTTGTGCATACATGTGCCTCTACTAAACAAAACAAAAAAAGAGGACTCTTAATATCTTATTTCATATAATATTTTATATTAAATTTACTGGATCTTATTGTCTTTCAAGTCTCAACCTTTTTCTATGAATGAAGTCTTCACTTTTTATCTGTAGTATATAGTTTAACGGAACACGAGTATTTTGAAGAGATCTTACAAAATAAAAAAATACAAAAAAATTAAATAAATTCAAGGAAGGGATAAATAATGTGTAAAAATAAGTTTATGGGGAAAGTAAGATGAAAAAAAGTAAATTTAGAGGGGTATAATTAATATTTCATCTAGTGCAAGTGTATTATGTATAGCTCATAATTTCATATAGGTTTACGTGTATTTCTCTGTCTAATCTAGAAAAAGTTTTTTGAATATATTGATCAAACCCTTTTTTATTTGAATGTTGAATTTAAAGTGTCATTTTCCTCTAAGGATATAGGAGTATTGTTTTTATGGTTTTGATGAAATATCCCACACTTTTCCATACTCTTGAAATAATTTTTTTCAAATTGGGGTCTTAAATGTTGAAGAAAAAGAATGAATTTATTATGTTGAATTACGTGACCATCTCATTTAAAAACTTAAATTGTTACAGAAAACATATTTTTATTATTTAATTATATTTTCAACACATATGAAAATAGAATACAATGTTATTTAGCACGCGTAGTAAACATACTGTTTCACCCATCTTGACATATTTCCTCTCAAAATTGTTACATTGATTTCCAATAGAACTACAACAACAAAAAACTTTTAGCGACAACATATATATCGTTTCAAGATCTCTTGGTAAATTTTAGCTGATAAGTTATATTGTTTCAATGATGGAACTTTTGCTAATTATATCACAAGGCAGACTGTATAAGACCAATTCCAGGAGTTGTTGATGGCAACACTTTTTGAATCTTCATAGCTTGATTAATACGATAATAATGAGGTGAATTATCATATTTCCCTTTCCACCTGTTGATAAGTTGAGATGCAAAAATTAAAGTTACTCAACATTGTTACTTAGGTATAGACGATTTAAGACTTATATATAATATTAATGTAGAAATCATATATGAAAAAAGATTAAAAATCAATCGATTTGAACCTCTGCTCGTTCTTTTCTGGAATCTGGAGTTCCAAATGTTGTTCGAAATTTTTGAAAATCAAGTTGACTTGCTCATCCTTCACCTCCTCTAGAGTTGTAGGGCACCACTGAAAATTTGGATCGAGAATTCAATATAATTAATATAACGAATTTTAACATTTGAGATTGAGACGTAATTGTTATTATTATATTATATATTAAAACTGTGAAAGCATCTATAAATTATTGCACATGGATAAAAAAGGATAATACCTTGGGAGATTTCTTCTTGTTAATGACAATAGCGCTTATGCCCTTTATAATTAACAAAAAAAAAAAGAATCAGCTAAGGTTTAAAAGTACCAAAAAGTTATTCAAAGTTAAATATTTGTAATAAAAATTAAAATAATTTCTATATACTTGAAATTATAGTTGAAAAGCTACGTTCATACCTCATAGAAATCATTAGATATTGTTTTCCTTAATATATTATTCGAGATTCTGAATTCTTTCTTCAAACACTCAGATAATGTCTGTTTCCTTCCTTCTCGAATCTACACAATAATTTTAAACATTAATTAGTGTACAATTTAAACATTTTTTTTGTTACGTTGTAATTTAATGTATTAAAACATAAGTTATAGTCCATTTTAAAAACATAAGTTATATATAGTTCACTACTTAATGTGGACAAAAATATTTTTGTGACTTTATAAGTAAATTTCAGCGATTATAAGTGAAATTATTTGTATAGTTCCATTCGGAAGAAGCATAATTGTTTTATCGCCTGATGGGGCGGATAGAGATTACTAGTTGAGAAATATAATTACCGATCTTAGTGTTATTTTTAGTCCTGTTGGGGATAATCTCTTTAGGTGTTTAAGCACTGGTTGAATCCAATCATTTCCTAATTTATGTGCCTCAGCTTCCTGAAAATTAAAAAAATAATTAGTTATAACTTTTTTTAATGATGATTGAATTAATTAATATGCTATAACACAACTAAAAAATAATTAATGATGATCTTACAAATGACATCAATATCTCCTCGACAGTATCCTTGGAAAAACATTCGTTGATTATGGACATCCTGCATTTGCATTGAATTTATTGATAACTTCGAAGAAAACGTGTAATACATAGATAGACATTTAAATTTAATCGTAATTAATAAATAAATAATATTTCAATTTTATGATTGTATATCTAGACATGTCAACTCATCTCCACCGTTATGTTTTGTCTAAATGATTATTTTGTAAGCTGAAGTATTGAGTTGAAATAGATAGTTGAGATGTCTAGATGTATATCGTCAAAATTGAAGTACTTACTTGTCAGTTAAGACTAAATTAATATTTGTCTATAAGTTGCATTAATTATTTAAGACAGAATATATATATATTACCTATTCAATTGCAAGATGCTATTTTCATGTATCTCAAAATCTGTCGAAAATTCCTTGATAACAGATTCAATAGCATTCTCATCACCACTGTTTAAGCTTAATAAACACTTCTCTAGCTCAACCAATTTCTGTAAACAAAAAAAAAGGTCAATATAATTTATTTAGAGAATATATATTTATATATTTATTTATTTATGTTGTGTTAATATACGAGTTTGGATATAAAACATTAGTATAGTTTTGTCATTTATAAATATTATACTTATAACTCAAAAGTTAAAAAATAAATAGTGTTGGAGTAGTCATAACCTGAGAAGGGACAATATGTGTGGCAAGTCCTGCAGCAACAACCTCTTTACCCTTTAGCCTTGCTCCTGTTAATCCCAAGTATTCTCCTATATATGCAACAAAATTTATATATATTTAGCGTTTGACTCGACAAAAAATTTAAAAACTAATAAAAGAGTTTTAGTATGGCCGGCATGACATTTATATGTTTTGTATATATTATAAGAGAATGTCAATGATAAAAAGTACATTTTAAAGTTAAAGTGTTTAATTACCTAATCGACCAGAAAGTCGCGAAAGCATGTATGAGAAACCACAATCTGGATGGAATCCTATAAGTGTTTCTGGAGTGGAAAATACCTATTCAATATATAATTTTATACAAAATTAAGTTAGATTCGAAAATCAAAATATTAATTAGAATAACACATGTTGGAGATGTATATATATTATAGGAAAATTGTATATAATTGCAAACTATTAATTTAAATTAAATGCTATAAATATATTTTGTTTTAATTGTACCCTATAGCTATTTTCGTCACTCTCCTTAGTGAAATCTCGCTTGCCACTGTCGTTTGGTGGCAGTCTCGCTCGCCTCTCTCGCTTTTTATACAAACATAAATGTATAAAATTCGTTTGTGTTTGTATAAAGCAATTGAAATTGTATATATACATATATTTTCGTTTCCCTCTCTCCCCTCTCCCAGATATCACTTGTCACTCTCCCTAATCTCGCTCGCAATCTCACCTCTCTCGCTTATACAAACAGAAGCGAAATGTATAAATTGCATTTCTATTTGTATAAAGCGAGAGAAAATCGTATATACACATGCAAATACATAAATTTTCGTCCTATACACTTATAATTATGCAATAAAAATACTCCACTGCCCAGTTTCTTTTGTCTTTCCCTCTTTCTCGTTTTATACAAATTCGAATTATATATAATTTTTCTCTTTCTCGTTTTATACAATGCGATTCAATTGTATATTCCCTGTCATGTCTCTTTTGCCTTTCTCTCTTTCTCATTTTATATAAATTTAAATTGTATATAATCGTTCTATACACTTATAATACAAATATTTTCCTGCCCAAGTCTCTTTTGCCTTTCTCTCTTTCTCGTTTTATACAAATTCAAATTGTATATAATTTCTCTCTTTCTCATTTTATACAGTTCGTTTTATATAATTCGCTTCAATTGTATATGTATAACGAATTATACATACATATATGTTTGCTATGGAACGTAATTATGTAAACTTTCTTATAGCATATAAATATGAATTTTGTATTTACTAAAATTGCACTATATTATACTTAGGGCGGAGCCAGAAATTTCACAGAGAGTGACCAAAAAAGTGAAAAAAATAAAAACTGTTACTCATAAGTGTCAAACACGTGAACACGCACTAACACTTTCAAGTGTCTAAACTACTGAGCTACAACACCTTATTGTATTAAAAGTGTCAAGAATATATTATTTAATCACTTTATATGTTATTTTACTATCAACGGTGTTTATTAGACACACTCACTATAACATAGCTACGCTAATTATACTCACAGTTTTTTCAGTGACAACTGAAAATTTCATTGGAGTCATCAAAGATGCACCTCCGCCCATTGACATTCCATGAACAAGAGCAACCTACAAATTGGTCATCGTTATGATTAATTAAACATAAAATTGACAGTAATTTAATACAAAATAGGCGAATATAAAAAAAATGGCTCAAACATCGTCATATAAAATAAAACGGATATTATTTTAAAGAATAGCATGAGAAAATAGAACGTACCAAGGGTTTTTTATATGTATGAATATGATAGCAAAGCCAATACATCCGATAAGTAGCTTCAAGGCACGAATCTCCTGAGAAATATATATAATTATCCAATATTTGTTATAATTCATTTCAATAGCCTTAAAAATGATAGAACTAAATCAAGTTAACATATCTTTAAGTTTCGAGAGTCAAACAGTTTAATTTAGATAGTGATTTTAGGCTATAAAATCTTTGACATTCTTTAAAAGTTTTATAAAAAAGTACTATAAATCGTAATAATTAATAATTTAATATATTTTTAAAATATAAATTATGGTAAAAAAATTACTTATTTAAATCTCGAATTCGAAAAGTGTCATATAAATTAAGATAGATAAAAGAAGCAAGTGTTTACTTGTTTTTTGACCATAATAGAACATTTTCAAATCCCCACCAGCAGAAAAAGCTTTTCCTGCTCCCTATATATTTACATCACAAAAATTAACTCCATATCTTATATATATATATATATACTACGAATTTGCTTCATTTTATTAGCAAGTAATATACATACCTTGATGATGACAAGCTTTGTACTATCATCTTTCTCTAATTTCTCGAGCTTCTCTCCCAGCAATAATATCTAATTTCGTACAACAAAAATTAGTATTCATTTAACAATTACGTATATAAGAAGAGATGCATGGCCTATTTGACAATCAAAGTCAGAATTCAAAGCATATGAATTGGAGATTCTAATCCTGACATGTACTACTATATAATAATTTTTACGTAATATGTTTATGATCACAAGATTAAAGATAAATTATTTTGATACATTTTATATAGAGAGAGTTTAAGATTCAAAAGTTTTTATTTGATTTTAAAAAAATCTGTACCAAATCAAAAGTAGATAATCGTATCAAAACAGTACTAACTCAGACTTTCTTTTATTCTTAAACCGTATATGATTAGTCAAATGAAAGAAGCATATAACATATGTATATATATTTACCACTTTGTTTGAAAGGACATTTAATTGTTTAGGCCGATTAATCGTAATCACTCCAACACCACCAATTTCTTCAGCAATAACCACATCCTGCAGATTAACAAAAAAAATAAATTTGCAGAAAGTACTAAACACTTCCTACATATGATTAATATTCCAACAAGTGAAAAGAACAACTAAAATTAATTCTTAGTTTCTAATTAAAACATTAGATAGTTACCTCTCTATCGAGCTTTACTATTTCTTGAGCCATCCGCGAAAAAATAGATAAATACTTGCGTACTTATGTTGTCGCAGTTTAATTTTGCCAACAATATCCAAAATTATACGATATATACTTGCAAAAATTTTAAAATTACGATATGAAAAGGATTCTGGAATTGACACAAAAAATATGAAACTAAATGGGCAAAAGAGACATAATATATAGTTGAAAATAACAATAAGGATCTCCGTTATCAACGTCTATTTGTTTTATTTTATTTTATTTTATAAAGTGTTTGGTACAAAGTAATAGGCGTGGAAGTTAACGCACGTTATGACAGCCTGAAAAAATCTTCCCAAATATTTCATTCTCATTTTTTTTTAAAAAAAAAAATAACGTGCTTAAAAAAATATGATAGGTTACTTGTTATCGTATTACTTTTTTATTGGTTGTTTGATTTGTTATTTGAAAAATAGTATCTTTTACGTTTGTATATAAAAATATCTTTTACCTACTTAGTAGAAAAAAGGTTAAAGAACTTCAAGGGTGTCTTTGCCATTTTCATACTAATTATTTCGATACTAATTATGATATAATATAATTTATTAGAATTAATAATCAAACAAAAATAAAATAATTCCGAGGCTTTTATTATTTATGCTTATCTAGCATATAAAATGAACCTTAATAACATGTACTTCTATAATGATTTAATTTACAAGTTATACATCTTATTTGAATCGTTATTACTATACATATAATATAATATGATCAAATTCATTGTTACATAATAACAAAAAATAACATTTTATATTTGATATTATCATGTTCTTACTTAATTAGTGAATTTCATTTAGTCGTTACTTTTCCATACAGACAAGTTACAACACTCCCAATAACTTTACAATTTATTTTAGCTGATTTTATAATTTTATGAGTTGCTTGTATTTTTATTTATCGTCATTTGGTGACAGCCCATCAGAATTATAAAAATGGAGTTGAGATTGGCAAAACATGGGTAACGATTTTCTTCGTTATTATTTTTATTTAATTACATTTTAATAATATTGCATGAGTAAGGTATGTGTATAATATATATATATATATATATATTAGAGACTAGATCGTTTTATTTAATACTTTTATAAAAGATTTATTTGTTTATTAATTTATTCTTATATTAATTTTTTAAGATCTAAGATAAATTATTTCTAATTGTAAAAGCATGGATTATTTTGTTAACAATTCTTCTAGATTTTTTTTAAAAATTTTATTTTGATATCGTATATGTTTCTTCTTCTTTTTTGTTTCCTTCGTAAAAATAAAAATAGATTTAATTCTGGTGTTTTTTTATGAAGTTGTGAACATCGAAACTTGAAAATTCAAAAATTCTATGATTTTTATTTTATGTACGTGCCTTACATTCACTATAATACTACTGAAATTTAAAACTCTTATGAACAAAATAATAAGTGGCGTTGAAATTGCGAAAACGTGGGATGATCTTCTCTAATATTATTGTTTTTAATTATTAATTAATTTTAAATAATTAATAATACTGAAGTAGAAGTAGCTAAACCACGTGTATAAGTAAATATGAGAGGTTGTGACATTTTCTTTTGTATTTATATAAAGACTTGTTATTTATTGTTAATTAATCTATTAATTTATTCTTAACTAAATAATATTTTTAATCAAAAGCATGGCTCATTTTGTTAATAATTTTTCAAGAGTTCTTTTATTTGTTATAACTTTTTATATGTTTCTATTTTCTTTTCTTTTTCTTTTTTAGAAAAATTACAGAAATGAGCCATAAATTCAAAATTATTACATATTAATAACCAAATCCAAAGTTATTTAAGAAACATCCATTTGCTCATAAATAATTACAATCCATACTCCTCTTCATTAAGATTGATAATTTTTGGTTATCTGATACTTAATTAGTATCATATATTGTATTGGTATTATTAAGAGTGACAATTTCGCTTATTAAATCGAATATATATATATATATATATATATATATATATATATTAT